TTGCCCCCCCCCCTCAGCTTACTCCCCTATCTGTGGCAGACGTCGTGGTAGCGTGAGCGTTAGCATGGTAGCGTTAGCATGGTAGCGTTAGCATGGTGGCGTTAGCATGGTAGCGTTAGCATGCTAGCGTTAGCATGGTAGCGTTAGCGTGCCGACGTGGGCACACCTCCCTGAAGAAGTGGGTGGATTGCCTGTGTCTCATTTGCATTTAAAGAGACAGGCACTCCAAAGCGAGCGCTCTGAACGGGGCTGTTTTGGCAGGGGGGCTGAACTGCTATTGGGCTTCATCCTTATGGGATTTTGACCAAAGCTTGTCACAGACATTACATTAGGACACCAGGGAACTAGCTTAACTTGTTGAAATAGGGTATAATATGTCTCCTTTAAAGTCGCGTCAAAGTCTGAAAATCAGCCACAAAGCGTCAAAATGTCGACACCTCTGCTTCCCAATCCAAATATCCGTTAATCAATAGGAGAGTTGACAGATTTTCTTGTGTGGATCAAGTGTGAATGGAGGGAGATGACAGCCCTATCAGTTTCCGTCTTCCCCCCGAATGCGCTTTAGCTCGGATTCATCTCTCGAGAGGCGAACGCTGTAAAGGGAGAGAAAGTTTCTGTTTTTCGACACTCTCCGTAATTCTCCAGCCGAGTGTTTTCATGTCTGAATCAGCGTCCGTCACCTCCCACCCACACGGGAAAATAAAGCCCCCAGCCTGGAAAACGATCCCTCGAAAACAGCAGCAAATCTGTAACAGAAAGTCTAACAGAGAAGCAAAAGGTGTTTATAACGAGATTATTTACCTACATGATGCTTCCAGATTCTGTTCTTTTTTGACATATTTACTTCTGTTACGTGGCTCATACGGGTTCATCTGTCAGTGCATTACACAAATCTACCTCTCTGTGTAATCTTGATTACAGGATATTTACCTACATGATGCTTCCAGATTCTATCTTCTTTTTTGACATATTTACTTCTGTTACGTGGCTCATATTGGTGTTTATCTGTCAGTGCATTACCCAAATCTAGAACATGGCAAACAGCAGTGTTTTCCTACTCATAATCCCGATCTCTTTCTCTAATTAACCCAGTACAATTGGTATGTACTGTTATTGTTTGCTAGCTGTGGAATACCTACAAAGTGTCACGTCTGGGGGAATGTTTGGTGTCTCGTCATGTCTTCATCACCTATTGTGTACACCTGGGGTTCCCCTCCCTCATGTGTTTAAATAGTCCTCGTTTCCCATGTCCTGCGCCAGTGTGTTTGTGTCCCTTTGCTTTCGTGTCCTTTGTTTCTCGCCACGTAAGGTTTTGATTTTTGCACTTTTGCCACAGCCTTGTTTTTTGTGCCATAGCCTTGTTTTTGTCACAGCCTTGCCATAGTCTTGTTAACTTTATTTAGTATTTTTGCCACAGTCTTGTTTTTTTGTGCCATAGCCTTGTTTTTGTCACAGCCTTGCCTTGCCATA